TATATAATTTTCTCATCTATTTTGAGCAAATTTGAATTTGAAAAAATACTGATTCACACCCTGTACCCTGTACTGTTTTTTATTCCAATAATAAAGTTTAAGTCCATTTACTAAAACAAAAGCAAAGTCGAAGTTTTTCTTAGTGAGTGGAGCAAAAACGAACAAGTCTACCAAACGTCTGAGCATAAACGAACAAGTCCCTAGTAGTTTGAACAAAAACGAACATGTCTGCTTTAAAAGGTGAAATATTAAGAGATTGTAACGTTTCTGAGCAAGATTACGATATACCAATATCATAAATCATATCAAGTAATACTTTCAATACCATTAATAGGCTGTAGCTATTGTATACTTCATAAACGTTTTTTGAGAATACTGGCAATCATGATCTGGTTGACATGTTAGGTTTTGCATGCACGCTCCTCAAGTATTAAAGGAATATAGTTGGGTTGGTGGAAAAGGCAAAAAGAACTTTTCATCCCTTATTAATTTGTGTAATATTGTTAAAGGTATAGTAAATAATAATTCCAGTAATCATGAAAGCCATATATTATATTATACTAATATTTTAGAGGTTCCACAACACTGTTTTACCACTAACCAAACCAATTTTTTAACGCCTCGACACGTATTTCGCTAACTATGTTAGCATCTTCAGAAGAAGATTAAAACTGGTTTTAATTTTAAGTTTAAAGTTCAACATTTCGTTCAACTAGTTTCGGAATGGAACATCTTTCGTAACGCCTAAGTGTTATGAAAATGTTCACTATATTTATGTCAAAATTGAAAAGATTGAAAGATTAACAGATATTGCCGGCATATCTTTCATGGTGACCTCGAATATGACAATCATATGCCTGGGGAGATATGGAATATTCATGAAATGAATGAATATGTATAGCATATGTCATGGACAAATTTCGGAAGATAAAAAGATATTGCTGGCATATCTTTCATGGTGACCTCGAATAAGCCTGCAATATGCCACGCATATGCCTTGGGAGATATGGAATAATCATGGAATATTTCAATATGCCAGCGGAATATTCAACAAATATGCATGGAATATTTTTGTGCCGTCTGGGTTTACACCAAATGCCCATTCTTACAGTTTCCACTGAATAGTGAGGAAGATTTAAATAAATATGATGAAACCCTCAAAGATGAAGACAACTTCTGTGAATGGGTGAGTATATCAATATGTTTACTTAGATGGTTAAAGTAAAATGTTTGTTAGTCATAAAGATTCATATTTCAATATGATATAGAAAATTTGTCAAACGAGGCCTTCAGGCTGAGTTCGATAACTCGTCTGTTATCTTAATATGAATTCACAATATGAATATTGTACAATATTTTATCTACTACTATCAATTGTAGCATTTGAAATTGCTACAAAATCATTTTTAGTTATCGTTTGCATGAAAATTCGAGCGAATTTGCTTTAGTGCAACATTCGGAGTTGCAAAGAATCATTTTCATTTTTTTGTTTCTTACATTTCCATTTTGTAAATATTAACCTTTCAGATCTAGACAAGAAGTCATACTTACAGAGAACATCCCAGCCAGCAGGGTGACGTCAATTCTCGTCGAATCGAAGTGGATAATAGGTGGCAATTGGTCGTCGTCAAGATTAGACCAATAATTGACGTCATTTTGACGTGTTCCAAAAACGTATCTGATAGACGTCATTTGACGTTATTTAGACGTAACATCTGCACCAATCATTTTATTTTATTTCGGAAAAATTACTCCATGAACTGCATATCAGGACTCATGATTGAACGCTTATCAAAATAAAATAGGTACCTATCTTAGTAAAGAGGATTCACGTATACTCGACATGGATAAAACTAAGTGGTGAAATATATATGTAGAACAAATATTAATTTAAATTGAAAACACCCTGAAAGAGATAACTTGGTAACAGATACGGTAGATTCAAGAATTTATTATATTCATACAAATACGGTTATACCAGGTGCCTTCATGTTTTATATTGGCGCGCCACGTCAAGACATACAGATGTTTATGATTGGTCAATCCGTGCTCCATGGCTTCGTGTGTCTTCGTTTCGCACAATGCCACCGCTACCCCTATCGGACATCGTCGATCGTAGCACAGTTTTTCGTAATCATGCGCATGCGTGATCCAGTTCATCGAATGTTGTGATCAGAGTTGCCAATCTGTGGGAAATTCCCCAAAACGTGGGGAATTTCATCGGCCGTGGGGAATTTTGTGGGGTGCCGATCATGTGGGGATTTTGTGGGGAATCCATGATTTCTTAGATTCCGAGTGAAAGTATTTTCATTATAGGTACCAGTATAGGTTTTTCAGCCACTCTCCGTCATAGAAATCGTTTACATTAAACCATAGAACACCTATAGTTCTGTGAACTATTTACGGATACGTGTCAGCAGCCACAATATTCCTGTATGATCTAAGGCGTAACCGTAACCATCTTGGGTCTTGGGTGTGGGTGTAACCAACCGGTGTAGTGTAGCTCACAGCTCACTCTTTTAGGTTAAAAAGTTTTTTTTCACAATCATCTGCTGCAAACACCTAAAAGTGTGTTTAGAGCATTGGTTTAGGGTTCAGTGGAAACAAAGGTGTGGAAACCAATGAATGAATGAATTGAATTTGACAAATGACATTTGACTGACGTCATCATCGTTCTTGGGACATGATTATTATTCACTATTTACCAGACAAGAAATTCTCATATAATTTGGTGCAATTTTGTTGGTGAAACAGTGAAACTTCATGTGGGTAATTGTGGGGAATCGGCAATAGAGAAGCGGGGAAAAACTACGGAAGCCATTGGCAACCCTGGTTGTAATGGCGGATTCGTGATTTTGGGTCACGGAAAACAGGGATACTATGGAAAAGTGGGGTTCAGCAAAATATATTGCAGTTTGCTGGTTATTTTATCAATTCCAGGCAATAGGAATGTTTGTGGGAATACAATATTCCGAGGAAAGGCATTGCTCTCGTTCAGTAGAAGTAGTTGACGCCATGACGCCTCGTAAGGCTGCGAAGTGTAGTGGCCGCCTTTCAAACAGCAAGACTTTTTCAACAGGTCAATAATTGAGAAAGCGAAATCTACAAATGAAACTTGGAAGGTGTTTGATGTAGTGAGGTCGTTATTTGAAGAAGGTATTCTATAAATACCTTAAATCGTAGGTACAAGAATAATTTGAGGTTATTTGGTTGAGATTCCTTTGAAACTTGACATCTTCATTTATGTCTATATACTTTGGAATATAGTGGATTTTATGCTTATTAGTTTCATTCAGATGAAGAATACCTCTATGTTTAATTATGTAAACAAATGAAAAATATCCACAACTATTGTAACTAGATCATTTGAACTGTTTTTCCAACCAACAAGGATTATGATCATGAGAAAGTGATTTAGAGTTTCACAGTTCCTTAGTGATGTCAAAACCTGGATCTACTTGGTAACTATTCGACGTGTAGAGGACGTCGCTAGCTGACGTCGTTACGACGACGCTAAATGACGTCGTTACGATGTATGCATATATGACGTGAAATTGACGTGTGTGTGCTAGCTGGGATTCAGTCTGATACTTGGTAAATAATCCTGAAGTACTTGAATGTAACTTTTAATGAACCACTTTATCACACAGTTTTGAATAACAGCATAGAAATAATAACAGTCATGATTAGTAATGTCTTCTGAAATTCTATGTGCCGATGGGAGGTGATGATGTAAGCTGCAGGAGTCTTTGATTTCTGGCGTTCTGATCCTAGAAGCCTAGAATTCGAAGAAATAGTTCAATGTTGTTGTCCCTTCCGAGAGTAAACAAACGACTTACCATTGTGTTCGCAGGTGTGATAAAGCCCATGTCGCTGGTTTATTTCAGGGATTATTCAAGGTGATTTTTCGATCTGAAATGGTATTTTCGGTGTTGGAAGAATTATTTTCTTTAGTTTCTGGAATTTGAATTTCAAACGTCATTGTCAAGTATGTCACCCATCTTCTGTGAGTAGGACTTAAGCACAATCTTACAATGTTGTGACATAGTACTACCGAAGAAAAAGAAGACTCTTCTTTTTCTTTTCTTTCTTCGGTACTTCTTCTGTTAGTTTTGACCTAGTAATTCTGGTGTTTTTCTTGGCAGGAAGCACTCGTTGAGATAAGATAAGTTTAGATAGGGAATTTCAGGAGGAGATTTCCGCTAGCTATCTCGAGGCTTTTTCTCGGCGACCGTCATGGTGTGCACTTGAGCCAGTTTGACCATTTTTTCTTTTCCCGGTATAATCCGTAGAAACCCTTCGGGGGATTTGAAATTTTTTTAAATTGTTCAAAATATCTGTGATTCTGGCCATGGACCTGTGTAGGATTTGTTCCCACTTTTCGGAGACTGCCTGATGTCCCCAGGAAGCCCTGCAGCCGGCCTTTTCAGCGTATGAAGATTCCAAACTAATAGTTCTTCAAGCCCTTCCTCCCTTCTCAGAAGGTAAGTCATATGCAGAGCAATGACTATCAACTTGGTGAGCAATCTTTCCCTTTGATATCAGTTTTTTTTCTGTTCTCCACGTGTCTGTTAAGAGGTTATATCAACCTGTTAATTTTTTAACAGGGTGTTAGGGTATGGCTTAGCTGCCTTCGGCTTCTAGAATCGAACAGCTTGGGGGATAATCTCTCGACCTTGGTCATGATTCCCAGAAGGACCAGGTCGCTCATTTTATCCTGACCAGAGTCGACAGGTGGCCCAGATCAAGCCCAGTCCCAGATAGCACCTAATGTTCTAAGAATATTCAGAAAAGCTCCTGGTCGAATATTCTATAGATATTTCCTCGAACTATTTTATAGATATCTTGGGAATATCTGAATATTTTCAGAATAATTCAGATATAATTACTTGGAATGATTAGGAAACATTCTCAATGGTATATTCTGAAAATATATATTTATAATAATATATGAATAATTCGATTGGTTAACCTTATAACATATTTTGGAAAATATTCTGGCAAGAATCATTCGGGAAATATTTTAGGAATATTTCACAGCAGATAGAAACATAATTTGGAAAATATTTTTATTCTGGTAGTAATAAGTATTCGAAAAAATATTTATTCAGAATAAAAATGTGCTGAATATTGATAAATGACAAAAAATGGTGTTGGGTTGGTGTAAAGTGAAAGTGGGTGGTACCTTGTGTACATGTTCCAAACATGAGAAGAGGAAGAAGAGAAGAAGAAGAATATTAGGTTATGTCATATATTTCGTTGTTTTGTTTCGCTCGCTTTTCCTTTGTTCTTTTCTTTGTTTGACTTCGTGACTTCGACTCGTTTGGACGTTGTTAGACGTTGGCTTTGTTCTGATTTTCCAGCCAGTTTACAGTAAACTTACTCCAAATTTTCTTGGATCAAGGTATTAGGTGAGTAGAAAATTATCTTGAATGAGTTCACATCATATTAATTTTTCCATATTTCAATTTTTAGTTTGTTTTTGCACATATTCGAAGGTACATAAATATCACCTGCCGTGAAAGATAAGTATTATTTATATAAATATCTATATACTTAATATATTCCTCATTCTCAAATTCCCTAATTCGATATGTCTTTCCCGAGCCATAAAAAGTTCAAAACGTCGACCTGGTATAGATGTATAAACAGTGAAGTTGATGATGTGCTAAATTCTATAAATTTTTCAAATACTCCAGTTTGCGCAACGAGTTCTGTGGCAACAACTCATATACATGAATTAGAACCACTCGAGGAACCACTAGAACTCGATATTTGTGACTTACAAAATCTTGAATTTGAATCCAATAATACCCTTACAATGATTCAAGAAGCATCTTCACTTCCTGATACAACATTTCCGAATCCAGATAATCCAAGTACCCTTGAACATCTAAGATACTGGGCTGTAAAAAATAAAATTCCACATGTTGCTCTGGCAGAATTGTTGATAATTCTTCAACAATCTGGTTCTTCACAATTTGAAAGCCTTCCAAAAGATCCTAGAACTTTTTTAAGAACATCACGTATAACTGAAAAGCGATTGGTTCATCCAGGGTATTATTGTCATATTGGTTTGAGAAATTCAATTGAGAAACAATATGAGCGTTTGAATTTGCTACCTTCAGGCAAAATAAAAGTGGGAATTAATATTGATGGTTTACCATTAGCAAAAAGTACATCAAGTCAAGTGTATCCTATTTTGTGCATTAATGAAAGCATCCCATGTTCAGATTCTGTATCTCTAGTTGGTATTTACCATGGATATGATAAACCTTCTGATTTTAATGATTTTTTGAGGGAATTCGTGACAGAGGCAGTAGATTTAACAAATAATGGAATAACTTTATTTGGAAAACAATTTTCATTTGAAATATCTATGTATTTGTTTGATGCTGTTGCTAAAGCTAGTGTCTTATTTATTAAAGGCCATTCAGGTTACAGTTCTTGCACAAAGTGCTTTCAGAAGGGGGAATTTATCAATGATAGGATTTGTTTTCCAGAATTAACATTTTGTAAAAGAACTCATGAAAGTTTTATAGAACAATCTGACCAACAACACCATACTGGCCACACCATTCTTTCTAAAATTCCCAATATTGATTTAATCAATGACATACCATTAGATTATATGCATCTAGTTTTGTTGGGGGTTGTCAAAAAACTATTGTGTGGTATTTGGTGTTTTGGATCTCCACCTCATAAGTGGTCATACCAAAACATGAAAACTGTTTCTGAACATTTAGAATCCTTATCAACATTCATGCCATCAGAATTTGCCAGAAAGCCCAGGGGATTGAAAGAAGTAAAAAGGTGGAAGGCTACTGAATTCCGACAATTTTTGTTTTATACAGGGCCAATTGTTCTGAAAAATAGTCTACCCAAGACTAAATACGAACATTTCATGATTCTTTCAGTCTCAATAATATTTTTAATTTCTGAAAAATACTGTCATAACGATGAATATTTAAGTTATGCAAACTCTTTGTTGACTTATTTTGTTGACATAACCAAATCAATTTATGGCTCTCATTTTTTAACCCACAATTTCCACAATTTGTTACACTTAAGTGATGATCATTATTCCAAATTTTTTGGGATTTTCTCTCCTCGTTTCTATAAAATAAAAATATGAATATTATTTCAATATACGTGTAGTAAGGACAAATCAGATGATTTGCCCCAAAATGTCACTGCGTTTAAAGAATTTTCCTATCAGAGAGCCTAAAAGAAAAATTCACTAGCTTGTCAGTGACAATTTGTATTGAAAAAATTTTTTGGAGAAGGGAAATAAAGGTATATAGAAAAAATATCAAATTTTCACTTATCTTTGGACGTTTCGGGACCGGTTCTGCTCCCGTTTTCAACATAAGAAGAGATTATTTCGATAGCGAAGTCGTATAATGTCTTGAAGCTTTTCAGTTTTCAATGACAATTGGTGACGTTGGCAATCAAATGAGTTACAGGATGTTTTCATTAATTGATCTTGAATTTACCATTTTCATGTTCAGATTTTAGTAGTGAATACCATGTTCTGTCTATATCAACTGAACAAGAAGCAATGTTATTGTCTCCGTTCAGAAGAATGCAAGCAGATATATATATATACCTTTATTTCCATTCTCCAAAAATTTTTTCAATACAAATTGTCACTGACAAGCTAGTGAATTTTTCTTTTAGGCTCTCTGATAGGAAAATTCTTTAAACGCAGTGACATTTTGGGGCAAATCATCTGATTTGTCCTTACTACACGTATATTGAAATAATATTCATATTTTTATTTTATAGAAACGAGGAGAGAAAATCCCAAAAAATTTGGAATAATGAATATACCACCTCCTCGATTAACCTACAGACAGTATTTAAGTGATGATGTCAGGAAATTTGGATCATTACAAAAATTTAATAATTTTTCCAGTGAAAATTATTTACAAAAATTGTTAGGATTAATCAGAAAACCCGACAACCCGCTAGTGCAAATAATAAGGAGAGTTCAAGAACTGAATTCAATTTCAAGAACTCCTTCAAAAGTAAAAGATACATTGAGTAAACAATATTCTGGAGGTATTTTGACAGATGATTGTACAGGTCCAGAATTCAAAATTTTAACATTCAATGATTTCACAATCACATTGGCTCCTAACAATTCTTGTTGTTCATTGAAGAATGGTTGTATAATTGAAGTAGAAAATATTGCCACTGAGAAGTTATCTGATATCAGTGTTGTTATTGGTAGAAGTTACATACTTAAAAACAACTTTTTTGAAACTCCATGTGATTCATCTGTGATGGGTATTTTTTTTGTTCAGAACCTAGGGCCTTTATCACATTGGCCAATCTCTGAAATTGATACAAAGTTGGTGAGACTCCCTTATTTGGATGGTTTTGTAGTTCTTCCTCTGTTGCATGTAGATTAATTTATATTACAGTTATAGTCAAGTTTTATTGAAGATTAGTAAGGAATACCTTTAATAGGTCAATATTCTTGATATATTTGAGTCTTACATTTTGTAGGTGCACTGAGTAGATCAGTATGCATAAAAACAGTTAGTTATAACATTTCAATTGACCTAACTACTTTTTATACATCTTAATCCCCCAAGTGTACCTACAAATTCTTGGATGAAGGTGTATCAAAACAGTTTGTAACAAACCATTTTAGAGCTTTAGGTTCTTAGAAAAAAATATTATCATGGCATTGAGTTAGTTAGATTTCCATAGATACTGTTTGTACTACTTCTCATAAATTTTTAGTTATGGATAGAAGAGAACAAGGTATTCATTAACTTACACAAGGTACTATACCTAATGTAGTATTTAAGTAGTCTTGTAGAATACATTAAAATTTCCATTTTAAATTGGAGGGGTTTTTACTTGCAACTCTTATTCAGTATAATATATCTCTAAAACCAAAATAAATAACTGATTTTTTCAGATCATGACTTGGATAGTCCTAAAATTCATTGATACTGACGAAGTTGAAGTTGTGCCATATAGTTGGTACAATGAAGATTTAGGAAGATGTATTTATCCACCATTTCAACGCAATGCATTGGAAAAGGCAATCAAACAAAAAATGACCCCACCAGATGATGCAGATTTAGATGGATGGAATTGGTTCAAGGCATCTCCAATGTCATCAACTACTTATGAAAATTTTCAAATGGCTCATGCGCGTGCCTCAAAGGCTTGTTTCACATCGGAAATTTCTGGTTCTGAAGCATGCTTGCCAGCTAAAAGAATTCCAATTAGAAAAAAAAGATTTGATGACACTTCAGATGAAAACAGTGATGATGAGCCCTCATTGAAGGGCGTTCCAAAATTAATAACAAAAAATGCAGGTGTGTGAAAGTCTCAATACCAAGAGTAACCTTAGTTGACTAGATTGTTTATGTTTTCATCCATGTTCTTTTTCGTTTTTCAGTCTCAGCAAAGGCTAAACCAGTTCCTACCTCTGATAAAGGTGAGTTTTTGAACAAACATTTCAAATTTTGATTGTTACCAAAAATGTCAAACTAAATATTATTATTCTACTGCCAATAATATTTTCAATTGTAATTTCAATGTTTTAGCTCCAGAAGAAACATGCACCTTCTCTCAACTACCTGAAGAAGATGACAATGGTAATTTATATAGTGATGTTCCTTAAATTCTATCTTCACAATTTCAGAATTGACTGTTTATTGTTTTCATTGTGAATAACCTATATCATGAAATCTTACATATTATTGTTAATCTTCCCTCATTAATTATTCCAATGATTCCAGGGGAATACATTCATTCTGCATAAATTGTGAAAATTAATATTTCAAGATATTCAATAATTTTTTTATTTCAGGTAAATCAGTTTTCCAGAGATTTGTTACCAGGAATCTTGTTTACAATAGGAATCTGATAGAAGCTATCGATAAAAAAATTGATAAATTCTATGAAGAATTCAAAGCATTAGATATAGGAAGAAAACCCAGAAATCCACAAACCAATGATGGAATATTCTCAGAGCTCCCAGCTAAATCACTAGATGAGTTCAAAGAAATTTGTGCAAAGTTGGAAGATGTTGAAACATTTAATGACCTGGTAAGATTCAAGTTGACATTTTTAATTTATAATACATTGATGATACCTGACATTTTCCTCCCAGAAGGAAATGAAAAGGGTGGATGAGCAGAAAAAATGAATGTTTTGAAAATTAAATTCAATTTCACATTTGTTTTCAGGTTAGACTTCCAAATAAAATTATACATTATATTTTTGGATGTTTTTGCCCAGTAGTAGCTATCTTGTTAGAGTATTAATCTTTTTGTAGGCAAGAAGTTTAGCAAGATTGGGAGGAAAGAATCATAAAGAATGTATCAGGAGATTCCTTTCAAAAACAATTGTAGATGAAGTAGCCATAAACTTCACCCTTCATGGGCATCGGGATGGAAAGCAAACCTTCATCACCTCAAAAATGTGTTTCCTCATCATAGGTAACTGTTTATTTCTCAATGTATTATTTATACAGGATTTCAAAATTTTCAATTCTCCTATCTCAGATAAAAGATGATAAAGAATGTACAGAATGTACAGTGCAACTGGAATCACTGGTGCCATACTGGTTCTATTTATATTTGTGGGAAGAGTGAATATTTATTTGAACCTATTTTGATACATTTGACTTTTTTTTCAGAGGCTGTGAAATCATGTACAAACGTAACTATAAAAGAGATTGAGTTGCAAATAGCACTTTGGCTGACCAAATCATCTGAAAGGATAAAAAAGAAGATTGTTGTGGATTGAAATTTTTTGTTTGTAATGTTTCAAGTTTCAACCAATATTGCTGTTTATTTTTGACCCTCAGAAAGAGTTTTTCATTTTGATGTTAGTATATTACTAATATAACTATCATTCCTGATGTTATATTATTATTTATCTACTTATGTAAATATGTTCATTTATACAGGGTGTCCCAAAATTATATAGCAATATTTCAACTAGTTTCTATGAAAAAAAAATAGTTTGAAAGTTCAAATAAACATGTGTCCATAAATGGCCCTTTAGGAAGCTATAGTCATTTGAAGGGGGCCCTGAGAGGAAGGTTTTTTTTGGGAATATTTTCGGGACCCTTTGTGATAAAATAACCAAATTTTGTACATGTACGAATGTTTTAAAATTTTGTTCATGTAAAAAATTTGGTCATTTTATCACAAAGGGTTTCGAGAATATTCACAAAAAATCTTCCTCTCGGGTCCCCTTCAGATGGCTATAACTCCATATAAAGGGCAAATTTTTGGACACTTGTTTATATGAATTTTTTCAAACTATTTTTGTTCCTAGAATCTACATTTGAAATAATTCTATGTAATTTCGAGACATCCTGTATGTTCCATCAAAAAGATTTTTTTTGTTTGTAATATGTATTATATCACTCATACATATATCTTTGTATTATCGTTTCATTCATATTTTGACCATTTGAATGTTTTTTCAGTTTTATTTTTTTTCCAATAAAATTTTCAGAATAAATATTGGTTTTGGTTTTGAGTTCGTCTATTACCCTCTCTAGGTTAACCAACATATGACATGAAGAGAATATGCTAAAAATATTTTGTATAGCCAAAAAGATAAATCATGTGTTATGTTGAGAATGTTTAATCAGTATAATCTCAAATTATCCAATGAACATTTTCAAGATAACTCAATAATATTTTTATCATATTTGCATGAATCATTTATACTATATTTATTCATATTTATTCCAGAAATAGTCTAGGGATATATTTTGAGAATATTCTTAGACCCTTTAAAAGTGTCCCGTTTCTATAATCTGAGAATATTCTTGGATGATTATATTTTTATGTGGATATTCATAGAATAATTGAATATTCTCGAAAAATATTCTAAGAATCACTCATGAATATTATTTTGCTATCTGGGGTAGTAACCGGTCAAGCTGAACGGCTGAGCCACACCACTGAGCCCTACTGTGGACTGTGGAGGTCCATCAACTTCTCTGTTCCTGTCTTCGTGCCTGTCTTTGTCTTCATGCCTGTCTTCGTCTTCATCTTCACAAGCATGCCTACTCACCATAGTGGACCTTGGATAGGGGTGATTAGACCATTGGAGAGGACCCTCCAATAGTCCAGGTTTTTTTATTCCATCATTTTTTTTTCAAACTGAATTTGATATTTCAACATTTTGATCATAACCATATTTAACATTTATGAAGCTTTTGAGAAGCTCTCCCATAGTACTATGTGACAGCGGTTTCAGGTTTTTTACAGATTATTGTCTAATCAATTTTTTTGAGATTTATACATCCCATTTTATAGTTGGAATATAATGATTGCTATACCCAAACGCTAGTCATACAAAGAGGTGGTAATTGTCATGGTGTAGGTTGATAAATTTTGATAACTTATACAATAATTTTGAATTTTCCCTAGAAGCAGTAATTTTATGGTTATGATATTTTATGGTCATGTTACTTTAAGATATTTCATGATAACATATGCTACATATTCTGACACTTTGGTCTCTACACTGGTTTTCGTGAACCCTGTCTATTATGGTTTTAATAAATAGGTCTGAAATTTGATATGGTTTGATTCATCTACTTGTGTTGACACTGCCATTTAAGAAGATTTTTTATATTTCTATCTCAGGAATAGGTTTTGAAAAACATTGTAAGTATCCAACTAATTGGTTTTCTCAATTATTCAAGTATCAGTAATTGTTTTGTAAATTGAGTGGCGCCCTCTGAACTTGAAATTTAACTATCGCAACGAATCCACTTATCTGTTCTCTGGCGAAGAGCTGCCGTCCGCACATGTGTCTTATATTTTTATTCAATTTTGGTTTATATCAATCAAAATAAAAAAGTAGGCCACACAATAACTCTTATGTAAGTCATAAGGGTGTAGACCTTATCTGGGATCTATTCTTTCCATCCCCTAGTCCCAGGGTGACAGATTAAGTCTAACCAAGAATAGCCCATGCTAGATGAAATTGGTTAATAAAATATGATATACAGTGTGACCCACTTCTAATGGAACCACCCCTGTATCTTACGTAATCGTTGGGTTAGGATCCTGAAATTTGCTGGAGCGAGAGATATACCAAAAATGAACTCTATGAAGTGGGGTCATCTTCAGTGATATACACTGCTCGCCAACAGCCATTAAACTAACCCAATTTCCGGAAAATGATATTAGGAGTCAAAATAGGTCGAATATCACTTCAGATTTGGAATCAGGACGCCCAATTTACTAACTATTCAAATTTTTCCTGAAAAATATTCAGTTCGGAAAAACAAAATTTTGTCGCATTTTTTATGGAAGCACCCCCGTGTCTCACGTAATTGACTCTATCTTTGGACTTTCTCTTCCTCCGGCAAATTTCAGAACCCTACCTCAATAATTACGTGAGATACGGGGGTTCATCCATAAGAAGTGAGACAAAATTAAATTTTTCTGAACTGAAAAGTGAGTATATTGTGCATGTCCCTACCTATTCCATTTTTTTTATATACCTAGGCACTAATCTCATCTTTTGTATATCAATAGAATGCCTCCAAAAGTACCCGGGGTCCAAGGGTCACAACAGACCAAATGGAATGTTTGCTAACTTATATTGGCAATAAAAAGGATATAATGTTATCAAGTAAAAATCATCCTTTGAGAACGAACGAAGTAGACAATGCTTGGAATGAGCTTGCAAAAAAACTCAACTTGATCAATGGCCCCTCCAAAACAGTAGAGGAATGGAAAGATTCTTTATTGAATATAAATCCAAAACAAAAAAGAAGGCTAGAGAAATAACAGTTGATTTAAAACGTACTGGAGGAGAAGCAAACTAAAGCAATTGAGTGACATGGAAGAACGATTGATGTCATTAATAGGCTGGGTAACAATAACTGGTCTGAATGAATTGCCAGAAGAAGATGAGTTAGCTGATGAAACAAGGGAGAATCTGATCATAGTTGCTGAGGAAAACCAGCCTGGCACATCAGAAGAAATAACAGGTAATACTACTCAATTTTTATTTTCAATATGCATCTCTAATTTGTGCAGTTGAGATCCAGTTATAAATACCTACTGAAATGAATTAGTAGAGTTCCAAAGAAATTGAAACTGTATTTACTTTTTCCATTGTAAGTTATTTTTAGCTTGGGAAATATGTAACTTAATATGTGTAATAATGTTTATTCTTTCCATATCATATATGGAAGACTGGAACCTTTGGCATGATAATACACTACACTGTTTTACCACTAACCAAACACATTTTTCAAGGCCTCAACAAGTGTTTTGCTAACTATGTTAGCATCTTCAGTTTTAATCTTCTCCTGAAGATAAAAAATCGGTTTGGTTAGTGGTAAAACTTCCCATATCACATATTAATTATTATTTTTTTCCTTTTTTTATAGGAAACGATTTGGATTTAGAAAATGATTTGGATTTAGACACAGATTTGGATTTTGACACCATAATGATCCATGTTGAAGGGGATGAAACATTAAAATAATGATATTCCTACAAATCCTACTGTAACAAAGGATGGTACTGTACCTATGTCAAAGAAAAAACGACCAAAGAAAAATTATACATCAACCAGTAATATTTTGCTGCAGTCAGCAAATTTATTCTGTGAAAGCTCCAGAGAACTCAGTGCATCTTTGAATAATTTTTCAGAATGCATAAAAATATTTTCTGAAAGCATAAAAGCATTGGCCGACAGCATCAAATTTTATGCAGAAATTAGCCAAGAAAATAATTCATGAGATTTTTGTTCATTTTGTTTCGTTTCGAATAAGTTCTGTTTGATTCGTTTTTTTTTTTATATTATGTTTGTATTCCTCAGGTTTATTTCTATTTATTTTTAATAAAAGTTACTCTGTTTGACTGATTTCATTACTTTTGTATGTCCATAGAATTATCATGTCTTTTTTATTTCAATAGAGTTTTAGTATGTCTATTTTTTTAAATTTGACATGAACTTATGGAATATATTCATTCAATGAGATTCTATGAAACCCTTCTTCTAACACTTTGATTAGCAATGAAACAAATAATATCTGATCTGGTAATGTGATTTTATGATTTTAATTATGAAAATTCTGAATTTCACAATCAATATTTAACTAGTTTCATTCATCCAGTCTTCTAATTAAGATCTTTCTAATGTGCCTGCCTGATGCTAACATATATATGCCAAAATCTGAAAAAAAACTGTTTTTATTCAATGTTATGAATTTGAGAGACAAAACTTGAAACATTATTGATATATTAATATAATGAGAATTTGAATGAATGAAATTTCTCATAACTAACAATTCCAAACTGAATTTCAGCTGAAAATAATTTCCATACAATAAGGTCTCAATTTTCTCTATATTATTTATGGACTAATCAAATTACCAAAATTTCCAACATCAATAATGTTCAAATGTCCATAATTGTCTTCATCCATGTCATAATCTTCAATGTGTTCTATATAATTGTGTTCTACACAAATATTATGTAGAACAGCAGCTGAATAGATGATAAGTCCAGACATTCTATGCCCATAGTGTAAAACTCGGTGACGCAATAGACTTCTGAATTTTTGTTTGAGAGATCCAAAACATCTTTCAATCACAAGTCGTGCTTCACAATGTTTTTTTAGTATATCTCCATTCTGGGGAATTTTCCAAAGCATCTGGGATGGGTGTCATGAGCCAAGGTGATAATGGATACCCAGAATCACCTAGCAGCCATGATTCCTGATCACCTTGCTCAAAACACCTCCGTAAATAACCA